CTAAAAAATGAGTTGCATCGCTTGCAGGGTGCTTCTCCACAAACTGCTGCTTTCCCGGGGCACTGCAAGAACAACGGTATTGCTCGGTTACAACGCGCTGCAGATCGTCTTTGGCACAGGCTGAGCTTTAAGTGATGCCAACTAGGAGACTGTTCCCCTACGGACAGGGAGACAGATCCCACACCTGCCATCGCTGACCCTTTTCTTAGCTTTACCTAATAATTAATTTGAAGAAGACCAATTGTCGTGACCAACACTTTCCTGCTCAAACTGTGCTACATCTATACAGAGCAATTTTCAAGAACTCAGTTTACCACTTCAGCCCCCTTCCAGCGAGGCAGCCCTGTTAGTACTGGTTTTCCCCACACGGACTTCAGCGGAGCGGGAGGGTTGCTCCGGGAAACAGCAAGCAGCCGCTGAACACTACCCCCCAAACCATTTTGTCTGAGTTTAATTCCCATTGAGGTGCAGTAGAGATTCTCTGCCTCAAATACAGGTGATGGGAGCTTGTCAGGTTCATAAAATATAACCGACACTGGATATTGAAGCCCCATAAAACAGGCGGCCACCCAAGCTGGCAGTCGAGCAGCGCCCTTACCCAGGGACGGAGGAACTAAACATTTTGTGCCTGTTGGAAGACAGAATCGTCTGCGGTACCCCTTCGTGGAACACGGCAGATACGCAACCCAGCGTGTCGCCCTGGTCTCTGGGTACAGGAATGGGCGTTTGGTGGGTACTCCCCTCTCGAGCAGAGCATTGCCCAACCACCCCCCGGGCCGTGGCCTCCCCGGGGCAGCAGCCAAGGCTCCCAGGTCCGAGTCTGGGGGCACAGAGAGCTCTCCATCTTGTTCCCTCGCTATTCCTTCCCTTTATCAGCCACCTTCAGCAAACCCAGGACCACACTCAGACCGCCTACCCATCCTCCGCAAACCATCAACCCAATTAACAGTTACATTCTGCTTTGTCGAGGAATCCGGGTTCGTGGAGAGGCAGAAGAGACCAGCACAGTTCTGGCGTTCCCGAGGCAGCCATAATACGGTTACATTAACCGTGGAAGCTGCCTCCGCGCTCGTGTTTACAGTTCTCCACTCAACTCCTTCTCCAAAGCACCTGAAGGAAGCAAAGCACACACGCCCAGCTTTAATTTCACCGAGAGTTTTCTCGCAGGGTGAAAGCTGAGACAGCGCCTGCATTGTGCGGGGGACCTGGCAACAAACATTTGCTGTGCGAGTTCAGCGTAAGGACAAAGATTTGGAATTGTCTTTTTTAATCCTCAAATACAACGGGTAAACACGCTTTGTTACTGCCTCCTTTGTTGTCTGAGCAGTTTCACACCTGTGGGACCCATCATTCAGCGAGCCAGAAGAAAGGAATGAGAAGAGGGGGGCTGGCTCTCCCCACCTCACCAGAGGAAGCCCCGGGCAGGAGAGCTCAGCACCAGGCGAGCACCGGGCTCACGCCAGCCTGCCTCCATCACGGACGTGCCATCCTTCGTCCCAGCCCCGGCGGACAGAGAGCCGTGGGAAGGACCTGCAGGACAACAGACCGGTAAAACTGATACCCGTGCTGGGCCCGCTGACGCTGTTCTCAGCTGGCAATGGAGAAGTGGGAAGGCTTCGATGTGGCTTCTGTAAATGCACCTCAAGCACCTCGAGATCTTTGAGGGAGCCGGCACGCAGGCAGAAAAGGGACAGCTGTTTGGCAGAGGCTGCTCGGGTTTCCGCAAGGCATTGGACAAGGCTCTTAACAGCTCTCAGAAGCCGTGGAACAAGACTGAAGGTCTCCCCCGGGCCGTTCATCGGTCAGAAGGAAACAGCAGCAACAACAGAAAGGCTATGTAACAAATGGGGATCGACAGGCAGTTTTCCCAACGGTAAATAGCAAAGGGACAGGATCTGATGATAGCAAAAAGTTACTTAGAGCAGCCAAAATGCGAATGAATGTAGACGGTGCCAGGAAAACAATATTTTAAAAAAAAAAAAAAAAACCAAAAAAAAACCAAAACAAAACAACAGAAAAAGAAGAATCTATGTCAAAATCCAGGTAAAAGGGATGCCTACGGAGAACAGACACATTTCCACGATCACACCAGGCATGGACACACCAGCCCTGGTCCTCAGGCTACCCCGACGCTCCTGGAATCAAACCAGCTGACTTTTGTAGAGGGCCCTACACTTCCCTGACCTAACTCGACTCAGTAAGACGATGCTTTAGCCAACACATGCCTTCCAGCTTTAAAACTTGCCGTTGATAGAGAATCCACTGTAAACCTCACTAAGCTGCTTTCACGGTTGGTGACTTGGTGATAAGTGTGACAAAGTACCTATTCCCAGTATGAACTGCTCTAGCTCTAACTAGTGGCCTTTTTTAGACCACTGTCCTCTAGATCAAAAAGCCCTCTGATAAAAGTTTCTATTCCACGTGCAAGCACCTCCATGCTACGGTTTTGTAACCTTCCCTTTGATAAACTAGATTGGGCTCAAGTCTCTCACCGTAAATAATGTTTGCCAAGCTTTTAATCATTTACATGGCGTTTCTCTGGATTTTTAAAAGCCAGAGGCATAGTCATAGCATTTGTCCGCTGCAGCGACAGTGCCAGGCACAGACGAGCCTTCCCACTAACGTCCGACAGGAACGCGCTGGACCTTTACCCCGCGCTGTCACGTTCTGCCACTTCCCCGGTGTGATGCCACAGCCCAACATCCAGCGTTCCTGCCTGCAAGGTTGTGTATAGGAAAGGAAAGCATCGACCTGACCAGCAACCCAGACCACCCCGGGGCAGGGGCTCACCCTCCACACGAGGCAGCCGACACCAAGCTCACTGGTTTTCCAGGAGCATCCGTCTCCTTCCAGGTCACTGCTAAGTCTTAAACAAGCACAGATTGCTCTTTGAGGTGAATCTGAAACACATTCACCAACTGACTGCCTACTGCCCTTCCACTGTTAAATCAAATCTTTCAATTTGTCCTTCTGGATTTTTCTATCGGGTTTGTTAAATCAGGCAACGTACCTTGCAGCATCAAGGCCATACGCCTTATGGAAGCCTAAGCAGCCCATCAGTGTGCTATCAACTAATCTGGAATATAAAAACATCATTTCGGACTGAGAAGATCTGTTTTCCACAAACTTACACTGACTGACTCAGTTTACGATCTATGTTAATGTATGACTATGCGGCCTGTCCCCTTTATCGGTTAAAATGTAGCTAAATAGAATTTCCCAGGTCTTTCCCACTCAATTTTCCTTGGCTCAGATTCATGCTCTTCTGCTAGACCCTTGCTAGGACAGAATAACCAGAAACTAGACCACCAAAGCAGCCAGGAGAGAATGAGGGACAAATGTAGCGTGCAATAGGATATCCAAGAGCCACCTCAGCAACTCCCAGGTTTCCCCGGCCAGATAATTCACTGTAAGAGAGAAAACAACCGATGGCAGTGAAAGAAGCCCTGTGAGAAGACAGACCTCTGCGGGGACTTCTGTCACACCTCTGCTAGAACAGCGTGTGCCGAAACACAAGATGCTGCTGCTGGCAGCAACCGGCCCGTTCCCGCTGGAGGAGCAGAGGGAGTAACGCAGCCCCAGCACCGCTCTCCGTTCCCAGTGACTACGCAGTCCCTTGGCCTTCCTTTTTAAAAACGCAGAGTGTAATTCCACAGCCAAGAAATTCTTCTACATGACCTTCTGGGGAACATAGTAGTTTCATGGAAGAGAGAAGAAAAAACACAACCTACAGGAGGCTTTCACAAAGAGGATCCCAGTATGTCGCTTCCCTTTTTGCTGCAATTCAAAAAGATGATCAGCTTTGCTGTAACATTTGAATCAGGAGCCAGTGTCAGAGCAGCGATGTACAGCACCGCTGAAGGGTATCGGACACCAGAACACGAGGTCCCTTTATTTAGCAGATCCTGAAGCCACAGACCAACGTGCTGGAAGAGCTGGAAAGATTCACGCCTCAATGGATGAAGCACACCTTACGTTGTCTCTGCACTGTTGGAAGCTGACTACACGATACACAAAAACAGCAGGAGAGAGAAATATGCTCCTCTATCCCAAGGCAAAAACAGCATTATGCACAAATCCCAAATGGACTTCTTTTCCTTTCTCATTTAGGGAGAAGAGACCAGATTTATTTGTTTTTCTCCCCCCTCCCCATCTGGTGCACATTCACAGTAAGTAAGAATAAGTTTCGTTTCCAATATGTGTCGGATCAAGACCTCAGGGAGAAAGAAAAATCTGCATTTCGGAAGCCACATGTCAGTTCCCATTTCTGGCATTGCCGCACGCAGCACAAAAGCACCCAAACAAAGCAGGATTCAAGGTATAAATTGTTTCACAGAATATACATTTTAAAGGGACAAGTACAAATATTACAAAATGAACAGAATCACCTTTAAAATACTTATATTTGTTAACCGTTAAAAACAGACACGTACAGAAAGAGGTAGCAAAGCTAACAATTTCCTGCTGCTCCAATTAGTGTTGCCTGCATGCACTGGGAAAGTTACTGCGGAACCGAATCTCCGGACATCTTTTCTGGAAAGGACTCTAGACAACTTGCACTGTATTTCTGACAATGCTATGAGAAGGACTGAGGCAAATCCACAGGCTCACCAGCAGCTGTTTCACGTTGTCTGGCTTAACGAAAAGGCATTGAAAGAAAAAGGTTGTCTGTGGTTTACTTCAGAGAGCAAGAGAGAGCGAGAGAGAGAGCGCACGAGCCCGCACACGTGAGGGAGACCACACACAAACGTAAGAGCATACTGGGAAGTTGCACTTTCCCTGCCACCCAAGAGGAAAGTACAACGGGTCCGTGGGTCCCAGAGTTAGGATAGGGGGAGTTTGCTATTTGCTTGGTCCCATGGAGATCAACATCACTTGACAGACTCAAAGCTAAAAGCAAAGCAGAAAAGGTTAAGGGAAGCAGAACTCCACGTGTTGCATGCATGCACTCTCTCTCACACTCTCTCTTTCAGGCTTTCCGAGGTCCCAGCAAGGTCAGTTCAAGAGGTTCTCCCATCCAACATGTAATAGCGATACATTAGACCTATGACCAGTGCTCCGACGATGGGGATTAGCCATGTTGACCAGAAACTACAGGGAGAAAAAAAAAAAAATCAAAATCAAACAACAAACCAAAAAATACACACAACATAAAACAGAAGAAAAGATCAAGTTAATAATTCAATCAAGATGTTCATCACTTATTACATGTCTGTTTTCATCTACGGAACTCTGGGGACCTGTCTGCCACCAGCCAACAGACCAGCCCTACGGGCCTCGGCTCCCAGGGCTGGGCAGCTCCAGCAGTCCCCATGCTCAGCGCTCTGCCCAGCCCCTGCGAGAGGCCCCTACGCCTGCGCGGGTGGCTTATAAAATAGCAGCTGAATTGCTGAAGTTTCCAGCCTGGCACATACAGAAACCAATTTGGGGTTTTTGTTGTTGGTTTGGTGTTTTTTTTTTTCCTTAAATAAGTCAGACTGTAATTTGTGCTATACAAACAGCTGAGTTGACTCAAGGATGGAAATTGCTACAGCTATCCCACAATAAATCTTCCTCACTCATAAACCAGAGGCCACAGGCTCACCTTCAACAGCCGCCTTAGCAGAAAAGTTCTGCATCAGCTACGAAAGACTAGGGCCCTGTTCTGGTTGTAAGGATTTTTAATTAAACGGGGCTGGTCAAATGCACACCACTGTTGCATCACCCCGCGGCCTGCAGCGACCACCCAAATAACCATGGTAGTGCAAAGGGACTGCAGCCACAGCTCTGCAAGATGAACACACGGGCCAGAGAATTCGAGCTGCAAAATACCCGGCTGCCTGTTCTGCCCAGCGTGGAGCAGGGGACCTGGTGCCACCGGCTGCGTCTCCACATCCAACAAGGGAGGTGCACGCCCTGGCAGCTAACTCGGTGAGCTGCCCTTTGGCAACTTATTTGGGACCATCTGCTTGCTGGAAGGACAGTGCAGTAATATCCCCAGGGGTTTTTTTCCTGCTCATTAGAGTTAATATGCAGTTCTACAAACAGAGAGTCCCAACCCCTCAATTTCTTACTCTTACTTTAAGAAGACACTATACCTTGCTTGGCCTGAGGATGTCCTACTTGGATTCTGAAGGAGGAAAGAGGGAGTTAGCAGGGGAAAAAAGAAACATTAAACATGTGCTAATAAGACTACAAGACTGAACATGTGATTACAAATACAGAGGAAAAATAACCCTCCTCTTCTCCCAAACACCCTCTGTCACAAATGCGGATGTTTCTGGGAATGTTTCCCCTCGTCCTCACCTCCACATTCTTTCCATCAATCCAATCCCTCCCACCACGCAGTCATCAACTTCACATTCAAACTTGCACCTCTCACAAAAAAGGTCTTGCTCGTGACCTCACAAAGCAGTCTGTTTTATATTCTACGGACGACAACCTGCACTCTGATACTGACAATCCTTGCACTGCGATCCCCTCTCCAAACCCCTGCCCACAGCCCCATCCTGCCACCTGACAGCGTACAGCCACAACGTTCTCTTCAACTCTTCCCTTGCATGCAACCTGTTTCCAAACTTTTATATTTCATAAAACTCTGAGAATTTAAATACTTTTTCCAGTCAGCTGAAATTCTCATTTAGGCTTTCATCAACTCTACAGCCTCTTTCTCGATGGCTGTTGCTGCTCTCCGGTTTAACTAATACCTACCAACCAAAACCCACCTTTCCTGCCCATCCTAAACAGAACAACGTCCATTTCTGGAGAGCCTTAGTGCTCGCTTTTCTGCCATAACACATTCAGTGAATGCTACACATTGACATTTACCTGTGGGAGCTATCTCTGAGCTGCGTCACAAAGGTATACATGTACAACTTTATTTTTTTGTGGTTGTCCCCTATTTATTTTTACGTTGCTGACTTCTATCTCTTGCTGCTATTTTTAAATGATACTTGGGCCTGCTTTTAAAACAGATGTTGCACACTGGAGAAAGATTTTAGCTGTACATAACTCACTGGACTTTCTCCTCAGAAAAGAGAAATATTTGAAAAAAGTATTTAACTAATAGTAAGTATCTAAGTAACTAATAATAAGTATCTAAGGGAGCTACTCGGATTACTACTTATTTCTACGCACATTTTAGCCATGCGATTCTGTTTATGAAATGGAGTTGAACCAAACAATACATTTTAAGGTGAATATATCCATCATCATGCAGTCCCGTGTTTTAACCAAGCATAGGCCCGAGTTCTTCTTTCTATGGCTGACTACAGCAAGCAAACACTCCTGAGCCCTTCAGTCACCACTCTCTCTGTAGACAGTTTCCTCCTTGATTCCCGCTACTCTGCGAGCGGCCCCACTGTGAGCAACATCTAATGAAAGCGCTGTTGAAGGCAGAGCTGCGCCTGGTCCAAGCCTTCAAGCCAAGCAAGAAGAGAGGCCAGCTGCAAGGTACATGTTTACCTCTCAGATGGGATTCTATTTATTACCATTTCCCTCTCCTCATCCATTTCAAAGGCATTTTGCAACACTGTGCCCTGTTCTAATCCAGGAGTACCTGAGTTTTAAGCAACACCAATGATTACTAGGGCAGTTAACAGAGAAAACTTGTTTTACAGCCAACCCCACGGTGGCTGTGCCTGTCTCCTGGCTTGACTGTCACAACACTAACAGTTCAGTGGTCAGGACATAGCAAGTAATGCAAAAAAATGGTCTGTGGCTCAAGGTGTGGAAATAACATTGCTGATGTCAGGGGAGAGAGGGCACAAAAAACCACTTCCAATTTCACACTGAAGTGACTGCTGAGCTCCAGAACAAAAACAAAGGTATAATTTGCTTGGAAGATTTATTCATTACTGTAGTTTGTGTAAACACAAAGCCACAAGCTCCACAGGAAAAAAGAAAGAAAGAAAGAAAAAAAAAGCGTGTGACAACTTCTTTGTTCATTTTGTGAGCATAATATCCCTTCCACAGCATTAAATTAAAATGGAAAAGTAAAGCACTAATAGCTTACCTTAGAACCTTCTTCTTTACGATCATGCTGTCAAAGGGGAAAAAAAAAAAAAAAAAAACAAGAAGAAAAAAAGATAAGACTGACTTCAAGAGAACCCTGCGGTCTTTATGAGGGAATTGTTCTGTACACAGTCCTCATCATAGGGGTAATTGCCTGGACTCGTTTTTCAAAGGAGTCGTTCCTTCAGCACCCAAAGGCACCGTCTTTGTAGCAGGCAGGAAGCTGGCCTTTGTGCCGTGCCCCTGTGATCTCTCATGCTCCTGAACTCTAAATTACAAGGCAAGGGGAAGTTATGGTACCACCAAGCTAAGGAGGGAATCGATTAGATTAGCTTGTTTAAGTGCCCTTGATTTAACTGTAGTGAGAAATCTGTTCTGAATGGTGGAAAGAGGAGACTAATTCAGTTTTGGTTCCTCAACAGAGATCCTCTTTCCTCAACACAAATCCTGGACAACACAGAGACTGACTAAAACCCTTAACTACTTACTTCACAAGACACATCTTGGTGTACGTGTTTAGTGGGTTACACAAAGGAGAGTCACACTTTTACACAGTGCCATCCTGGGCTTGAAAGAGGCTGTCGCAGCCAGCTGATCCTTACCGGGTGGATCTCCCCTATGTAGTACTGCTTAAGCATTTCCCTGGCATCTGTGGAATGCCCAACATCTTCGAAGCTCTCTGTGGCATCTCTACCAGCTTGTTCGAGCAAAACCTCTTCTCCACCTGGATGCTGGAAGAGAAGACTTCAGGTGAGCAAAGGGCTAGATGCAAAAAAGGTACTAAGAGTGTCAGCAGCCTTCCTTCCAACCTCTCCTGTTCATCACAGATGCCTCAAAACAACATCATCAATAAATTCTTCCAAAGATTCAATTGCCCAACTGCTCCTTCAGGAATTCAGAGAGAATGACGTCTGCCACACAGCCTGGAAAATACCTCACACAATAAAAATCCTTCCGAACAGGCAAATCTCCAACATACATAGGGAAGCACGGCTTTGTCCCCCACAGCCAAGCTATCCCTTCTGTGATTCTGTAATGGATTTGAGAAAGAAAATAATACAAAAGAAAGGATATCCTCATGGAGCTTTTCATGGGTTTCACTGCATAAAGCAGACTCCCTTGCTTGCAGAGGAGCCTCTCCTGCATGATTTTCTCAAGAACTTTCCTAAGGCAACTCAGCTGCTAGTGAAGCACAACACTGCCTTTACAGGCACCAATGGAGGAAAGGATATTCTACTTCAGAAACCACAAAAAATAATCGTATTTGGCTCACAGTCTCTCTCTGCACATAGCTGTGTAACGAGGAATGGAGAAGAACAGAGGAAAAACGCATCATGTTTTCTCGTGGCGTAAGAGGCCACGACTCTAGTGTAGCCCCAACAATACTGAACTTGATCCAGTGTACAACCACTCAACGACCAGGGGAGAGGAGAAAAAAAGTGTCACGAAAAATTATACTGTTTGACATCATATACTGATTTCAGAGATTCAGGAGTCACAACAACAAAAGTACCAGATCCACAGGACGCTCCACAATGACACTGGCATTTCTGTTCGTGACAGATGGTCACAGACAACTGTCAGACTAAGCGTTATGAACTGACAAAAACCCCAGCGCAATTCCATTTTCCTTCATGGGCTAGGCTCTTCCCTAGCACTGTCAGTACCATAATTCCAGGAACAGACTGGCAACGGAAAGGACTAACCACAAAGCCGGCAAAGTACAATCTCTTTACAGTGTGAGTGTGAACAAATAGTTCAGTTGAAACTATCGGCTAATCCAGATAAACCAATAAAGTGGTCGGGCTTCTGAGCACACACACAGGGACTAACCCAGTTTTCTAGAGCATCAGGCAACAAGCACTAAATGCAGTAGTTGAGAAGACGAGACTTGTCCACTGCTGCCTGAAATGACTCTAACAGCTACAAGCCTGGAACTGGAGAAGATATGTTGGAGTAAATTTCAGATCAAAGGACTAACACACCTGTTTTTCTCTGTAATATCCTTTTCCTTCCCACAGACGCAGAACAGTTGTCATTGCCCCTCTTCCTTCATCTTGTCTATTTTTGCTGCCAAAAGTCTAAATATTCCCACTTGGCTATCACACCTCATACCAAACATACTCAGTATGAACACAGAAACAGTCCAGCTGTTTACTCCGATGAGTTGCTGCAGCCAATTCTGCAATCCTCATATCAGAGCTCTTCATTCTGAATAAATCCCTTTATTGTCCAGGTATGTAACAAAATCAATGTGGAGCTTTCTCAGCAGCCATGAAGGGCAAAGTCTGCAGTCCTAGGACACAGTTTGGTTAGCAGTCAGTTATTAGATTGCCGTAGCTGTAAACCAAGGGAGGCTCCACTCTGCTCATTCCCTCCGTGCCTGGCTACAGGTCTTGCTGCCATTTCTCCCACACCAACTCTCAGCCTCACTTGATCTCAGAGCGAGCCAGATCAGGGACTACCCTAGCAGAAAACCCACCCTACAAAAAAAGAAAAGGAAGCGATTACCTGCTGGGGTAGCTGTGAATGAGCTCACTACAGAGTTGGACACCTGCCTCTGTTTATGCAAGGGAACACAGGCTGCAGCAAGACCACCCTTTAGATCATTTCTGCACCCCTTAGATCACGCTCTCAGACTGGGTTGCAGTGGTAGGATGCTGTATATTGTCTACGCACATTACTCAGAACAACCATCCAATCTTTTTATAAGCACGCTTGCAAAGATCCACAGAAGCTAGGGGATGAAAAGCTGGCCATTTAAGCCTTCTAGAAGAAATCCTTAGGGATGCCTCACCAGAAATCTCATTTCAGATGGAAAACTATCAGAACTGAATTTTAAGAAGAGAACTTTGCTTTCCTAATCATCTACCCTAAAAGGGCAGACAAAAACCTGCAGTAACAGGGAACATGCAGTGGATATTGGCTTTCAGTGGCATCCAGTCTTTGCATATACAAGAGACAAGAAGAAAAATAAAGCTTACTACTCTTTACATCTTTGGGTCTGAGGCCTTTCTATGCACTTGCTAAATCCACAAGTAAGAAAAAGCATTATTTATTCACGCACATCTGTCCTTCACAGTAATCACCAAGTAAAAAGAAAAAACTTCAAAACATTTTGGCATATCCTATTTCTGAAAGGACTCCCTAGTCTAGACAACCACAACTGCAGCCAGACAATTCTTACCTTGTCATATCCGAGCAAACGTTAAACCAGACTATTTATAAAGGAAGTCTTTTACTCTGCCACAAAACTTCTCAAAACTACAGCTCCTGCAGGAAAACATGAAAACTGGAAGTGTTGCAAACTGTGGAAAAAAAAGATGTACTTCCAGAGGAAACAATGGCTGAAAAATTCTGTTTCTGAAAAGAAACGGACAAAAGCAAACAAGAACAAGAGAGATGAGCACAAGCGCCAGTCCTCAGTTTTCCTCAACAACAGTAACAGAACCAGAACCTCCTCGTCACTGCAGCCTTCAGCATACACTATAAATAAAGTACACTCTGACAGCAATGTTAATACTCTTGAAGCACCAGTTCTGTAAGGATACGACCAACGCCACTGAGCAGGGAAAACAGCTTTACAGAGAGAACCCTGTCATTTGGAAGGGAAAGCACAACAGCCATCACCAGTATAAGTCACCCTCCAGAGTCCCTGGCCCAGGCAGCGCAGGAGGGAGGTCAGGCTGCTCGTGCCACAGTCAGATTTGGGGGGAGAAAACCCAAGACTTCCTCCTGCTCTGCAATATTCACAGCTACAGCAGGTGTTCTCAAAAGTGTCATTTCAGCGTGATCTTCAAATCAAGTTCTCCAAATTCCAGACTGGGTCCAGAGAAGAACAGCAGGAGTAGGGAGTTGCACAACCCCACATTCACTCCAAGCTCACTTTAAATGTCACTGATGCTCTAAGGTGGTGAGCAAAGACAGTTTGCCCTTGATGACTCACATCCTAATTAGCAGCTCATATAAGTCTATCTTCTGCGTTCAGCCAGCGAGGTTGTATTTATTCAGGAGAGCTCAGAAGATGCTCTATCTGTGTAGCCTTTAGAAGTGATATGGATCGAGCAAAAAGGAGCAGCAAGTCAGAACCATACACATGCAGTGAAGGCTTCTGAGAGAGCAACACAGAAACGAGAGCCTTTTCACAAGCTCCAAGTGCCTGTCTGCATACGTCTGGCTGGCAACTGCTGTTACAGACCCACTGTAAACTACAAATGAGCTCAGAAGCGACACTAAGCTCTACAACTAGATTTTGCTGGATTGGTGGATCAGGTAAGATACAAGATCATCAGGCTGAGGAGGGATACAAAAGCTTTCATTCCTAGCCCCCAGTATTAGAGAAATAAGCCAGAAAAGGGAAGAACATTACTGTGCAATAATAATGTGCCAGTACCATACAAGCCAGAAAACAAGGACAGACAAGCAGCCACCTAGACAAATGGCGTTCGTCAACCACACATCCATCAAAAGCTTGTTTTAAGACACGGAACAGGTTTCCCTGAAAACACCTCTGCAAAGCTGCTGCAAGTCAGCATGCACAAAAACCAGATCTCTGACATTCCTCCTCCCTCCCAGAATTCTGGTTTCAGATAGAATCATAGAATCATTATGGTTGGAAGAGACCTCAAAGATCATCAAGTCCAACCGTATACCCGATGCCACCATGCCCGCTAAACCCACTAAACCATATCTAGAAGCGCCACATCTAAACGTTTTTTGAACACCTCCAGGGATGGTGAGTCCACCACCTCCCTGGGGAGCCCATTCCAATGCCTAACGACTCTAACAGTGAAGAAGTTCTTCCTAATACCCAATCTAAACCTCCCCTGCTGCAACTTGAGGCCATTTCCTCTCATCCTATCGCTCGTTACTTGGGAGGTCTCTTCTGACCGACCCCCACCTGGCTACCCCCTCC